GGATTCAAACTGCTGACCTTTTGGTTAGCAGCCAAGCTTTTAACCACTGCGTCACAAGGGCTCCAATAAAAAGTAAAATGTGGTAATAAAAGCAGAAAGCCCCCTGCAGGCAATGGACATCATTTATCACCCTTGTTCAGAGTGGGCAAGATTTACTGGTGCCGGATAACAGCCCTTCCTCCCTTACCCCACTGAGATAATTTAACAGAGTTCTGGGTTTCTTCAGAGGAAAAGCATTCCCCACTAAGGGCATACTCTGTGTCCTTTAGCAGCTAAGGAGATAGTGAGGGGGCAATTGCAATATAGCACACCTGTGCATCCAGCAAATAAGATACTACCCATAAGCAACCAGAACAGTACCTGTTGCAGAGCAAACAATAAACATTAGCTATGATTTTCGTTTCTGGGATCCCATGAGTCAGCTACTGCTTAGCCCTCAGGTACTGTCAGCATCTCCACACCTGGTGTGTTTTCTCCATCACTCCCTTTCTCCATCCCTCCTTCTCTCTTTCTTTCAATCTTTGGCTCCAGAATGAAAACAGGAAATGGAAAAATAGAAAGCCATACATGTTTGGTTGAATGCTTACACAAGGTAACATTCATGGACTATTTTGTCCACCATTTCTATGTGGTCTTGGGATGGGGATGCTGAGGAAGGCTTTCCACATATTCCTCCATATTTTCTTGCTTTGCTAAAACTGTGACAAGATTGTTTTCATTTATTATGTAATTTTGTTTTTAGCTGTCTTACTAAATAATATATTCATCAGTAAAGAAATAAAGGGGCACAATACTAGAAAATAAAAAGTTGTCAAGTTGACTACAACTCATAGTGACCCCATGTATATCTGAGTAGAGCTGTGCTCCACAGGGTTTTCAGTGGCTGAGTTTTTTGGAAGTAGATCACCAGGCCTTTCTTCCAAGGCACTTCCGGGTAGACTCAAACCGCCAACCTTTCAGTTAGGAGCTGAGCGCATTAACTTTTTGCACCACCTGCCCACTGCCATCGAGTCAATTCTGACTCAGTGACACTATAAGAGAGAGTAGAACTGCCCTATAGGGTTTCCAAGGCTGTAATCTTTACGGAAGCAGACAGCCACATCTTTCTCCCTTGGAGCACCTCGTGGTTTGGAACTGCCAACGTTTTGGTTAGCAGCCGAGCACTTAACCACTGTACCACGAGGGCTCCTTTTGCACCACCCAGGGACAGTATAATACTAGTCTGCTATTAATGATGACACGGCTCCATATTTATTGACAAGAAAATATATTCAGTATATATTAGATGAAATAAAATCAGATTAGAAAACAGATTATAAACTATGATCTCATTTGGTAAAATTATATATAAATATGAAACAAGTGAGAACAGATGAGTACTGAAATAAAAAGAATGGTCATCGCTTTATTATCTTCATATTCTTTTTCTCCTGATTTCTGTGTATTCTTTTTTCAAATAGCCTGTGTAAGTTAAGTAGTAAGAATAAACCAGTAAAGCTATTGTTTTACGTTGTCGGTATGATGTGGTGGGGAAAAAAAGAAATCATTCGGGCCAGAATTACACTAGTCTAGGTATGAATTTTGGGGATGACAAAATTTGTGCTGCTCATCCCCAAAATGTTGTAGGACAAACAGGGAATACACGGCAACTGCTTTGTAAACAAGTATCTATAGACATGCAAGCTATACTAACCATTCCATTCTTTCTCCTAATCACCCACATATTGGTAGGATGAATTGCAAATGTTCATGAAGAAAATTAGGCAGGAAAGCCCTGAGAGAAAGAACAAAAAGGGGGTGGTTAAGACCCTCAACAAGACGACTGACACAGTGGCGGCAACCACGGGCTGAAGCATAACAACGACTGGGAGGACGGCGCAGGACCGGGCAGTGTTTCGTTCTGTTGCGCATAGGGTCGCTATGAGTCGGAACCGACTCGATGGCACCTAAAAACAGCAATTTTTTTTAATGCTCTCACATGTTCTGAGTCCATCGAGGCAGATTTACTTTTTCCCTCAAGTAGCTCTTGGTCTGCTTATAAAAGATTGCTCACTTCCTGCAAACATTTCAGAAGTGTCTCCAAACACACTGGGCATGCTTAACGTAGATTACGGCACTCTAAGGCCTGTTAAGGAGCCCTCGTGGAGCAGTGGTTAAGTGCTAGGCTGCTAACCGAAAGGGAGGCAGTTTGAACCCATCAGCTACTCGGCAGGAGAAAGATGTGGCAGTCTGTTTCCGTAAAGATTCCAAACCAAAACCAAACCCATGGCCATTGAGTCAATTCCAACTCATAGCCACCCTATAGGACAGAGTAGAACTGCCCCATAGGGTTTCCAAGGCTATCAATCTTTATGGAAGCAGACTGCCACATCTTTCTCCCATGGAGTGGCTGGTGGGTTCTAACCACTGACCTTTTGGTTAGCAGCTGAGCACTTCAACCACTGCGCCACCAGGGTTCCCTTCTGTAAAGATTACAGCCTTGGAAACCCTATGGGACAGCTCTACTCTGTCCTATAGAGTCACTATGAGTTGGAATTGACTTGAGGGCAACGGGGTTTTTTAAGGGGCTGTTAAGGAGCCCTGGTGGTGATACGGTTAAGCACTTGGCTCTTAACCAAAAAGTTAGTGGTTCGAGTCCACCTGGAGGTACCTCAAAAGAAAGGCCTGGCAATCTACTTCTGAAAAATCAACCTTAAAAACCCTACGGAGCACATTTCTACTCTGACACACATTGGGTTGCCATGAGTTGGAACTGACTCGATGGCAACTTCTCTTTTTTAAGGGCTATTATATCATTTTCAGCTAAAAGCATGTTGACCAGGGTCAACAAACATTTACAGATTTGAGACTTTAGGGGTAAAAAAAATCAGATAAAATAGGAAAAACTAGAAAACTGAAACATATCAATGAATAAATGTTTAATGCCAGCAAAGGGCAACATAATGTTGACTTAATTGTTAAATTTAGCACTCATTAACAGTCTATTACATTTGAAAATAATATATAGGCTAGATTTTCTCTCTAGGCAAGTATTTTATATAAATAATTCCCATCGCTGTCAGTTCATTCTGACTCATGGAGACCCCATGAGTTACAGAGTAGAAGTATGCCCCATAGGGTTTTCTTATGGTGTTGGTGAAGAATATTGAACACACCATGGATTGCCAAAAGAATGAGCAAATCTGTCTTGGAAAAAATACAGCCAGAGTGCTCCTTGGAAGCAAGGATAGTGAGACTTCGTCTCACATACTTTGGACATGTTATCAGGAGGGACCAGTCCCTGGAGAAGGACGTCTAGAGGGTCAGCACAAAAGAGGAAGACCCTCAATGAGATGGATTGACACAGTAGCTGCAACAATGGGTTCAAAGATAACAGGCAATGTTTCATTCTGTTGTACATAGGGTCGCTGTGAGTCGGTACTGCCTAGATGGCACCTAATAACAACAACAACAGTCTTTACAGAAACAGATCACCAGTGCTTTCTTCTGTGGCACTGCTGGGTGGATTTGAACTACCCAACCTTTAGGTTAGTAGTTGAGTGTGGACCATTTGCACCTTGTAAATTAAATGAGTTAATCATTGGCAAATAAATTAAAAGGTAAAATTATAAAAATCCTCTTGATATTTATGGCAAAAAATACATACTATGGAAGGATTTTAATGTTTTATATAATATGGTTGAGGGCTTCTGAAATTAGGCGCAGAAAGTGCCTGCAACTACGCTGAAACAGCTTGAGTATCCCTATCCATCTTCAGTTCTAACTGTGGAATGTTCAGATTACAGACAGGAGCATCCCTTCAACGAGCTCCTTTAGATGGTCTGTTGTTGCTAGCTGCCATGGAGTTGGCCCCAATTCATGGTGACCCTATGCACAACAGGATCAGACCATTGTGATCCATGGGTCTTCACTGGCTGCTTTTCAGAAGTAGATCGCCAGGCCTTTCTTCCTCATCTGTCTTAGTCTGGAAGCTCCCCTGAAACCTGTTCAGCATCATAGCAACACAGAAGCCTCCACTATCAGATGTGTGGTGCCTGCTCATGAGTGGCACTGACCGGGAATTGAACCCTGGTCTCCCTTCTGGAAGGCGAGAATTCTACCACTGAACCACCACTGCCCCCCTTAACAACATAACCAGTTGCTATGGAGTCAGTTCTGGCTCATGGAGACCCTACATGTGTCAGGGTAGAACTGTGCTCCATAGGGTTTTCAACAGCTGATTTTTGGGAAGTAAATCGCTAGGACTTTCTTCCACAGTGCCTTGGATGGACTTGAACCCCCAACTTTTCAGTTAGCAGAGAATGTTTTAACCGTTTGCACCACCCAAGTTCTCCCCCCTAGCACCACAGTGCACATAATCCCATTGGAGACATACCTCAGCTCTGGTTAACAGAGCAACAGGGCGGAAACCCCACAGGTCACAATGTTGAATAAAAAACAGAATATGAGAAGCCAGGGGTCTTTGCTGTGTCTAGTTGAAGAGAATAAAATGTTTCAAAGACTTACCATACAAAGACAAGAACCAACTTCTAGCCGTAACGACGTATATGAGGGCAAGAATGGGAACTTGCACCTTCTTTTATCTTTCTCTGGTGTTTCTCAAGGAGAATTGGGGATTTTGTAACAAACCTATGGGGCATTCCTCTACTAATGTAATGGGCAATTGAAGAGGATCTTTTATTTTTTTCTTTTTCTTTTTATTGTTATAGTGTAAGTGAAAGTTTACAGTTCAAGTTAGTCTTTTATACAAAGATTGTTATGTGACCCTAATTGCTCTCCCCTTACTGGGACAGCACACTCCTCCTTTCCACTCCTGATTTCCCATGTGCATTCAACCAGCTCCCAAGAGGATCTTTTATTTTGTAAACAAACAAACAAGAAAACAGGGGAAGTCTACTGAAGTCTTCAACCTACTCTGAAATGCATAAAAAAATAAGATGGATGAATGGATGAGAAGAAGGATGCAGAGATGGCCATACACGTGCAAAAACAAGTATAACAAAATGTTAATCGTACATTCGCAACGGTGGGTGTATTGGCGTTTGTTATAAAATTCTTTCAACTTTGCAGTATGTTTGAAAATTTTCATAATGAAATGTTGGGAGAAATTTGAAGGTAGCATGTACTTATTGTAGAAATCTTAGATGACATGGACCAAAAACAAAAAAGAAGAAGACGAAAATAGAAGTTCCCTCTAAACTCTAAGCTCAGAGCTCCTGCTAACATTTTAGAAAAAAATTAATCATGCTACTCATGTTGTTTTGTAGTTTAATTTTTTAATTTACCTTTAGATCAGTGTTTGTCAACCTCAGCACTACTGACATTGGGGCTGGATAGCTTTTTGTTTGGAGGTAAGGCTGTCTTGTGCATTGTAGGATGTTGAGTAGCATCCCTGGTCTTCACCTACTAGATGGCAGAAACAATCTCCCCCCAGTTGTGACATCCAAAAATGTCTCCAGACTTTGCCAAGTGACCCCTGGTCCCCGAGTTCACAACCACCGTTCTAGGTTATAAACATCTTTCCATATGAAAATGCATACACATTTGAAGAAAGTTATAAAATCTTAATTAAAGACATTAATTATGACTTAAACCAGTGGAAAGAGATCTCATATGTTATCATGGAATGACTCATTGCCATGAAAATTTCTGTTGTACCAAAATTAATACAAAAAGTAGATGCAATTACAATTAGATATTCAATGCCTGTTTTGTCATGTTTCTGCAGAAGGATAGAACCAAAAAACCAAATCTGTTGCTGTCTAGTCAACTCTGACTCATAGCAACCCCATAGGACAGAGTAGAACCCACAGGGTTTCCAAGGAGCCCCTGAGAGATTTGAACTGCTGACCTTTTAGTTAGCAGTTGTAGCTCTTAACCACTGTGCCACCAGGGCTCCCAGGGTAGGATACAATTATTTTAAGCTCATATTGTTGTTAGTTGCCATTGAGTCAATTCCGACTGGTTGCGACCCCATGTGACAGAGTAGAACTGCTCGATTGAGTTTTCAAGGCTGTGACCTTTTGGAAGCAAATCACAAGGGCTTTCTTCCTTGGCATCTTCTGGATGGATTAGATCGCCAAACTTTCAGCTAATAGTTGAACGCTTAACCATTTGCACCACCTAGGGGCCCCTTAAGCTCATGTAAGAAGACTGAATGTCTGAGACTAGCCAAGGAAATTATGAAAAGAACTGTGGGGTTCAGGTGCAGACAGTATTTGAAATCATAACTATAAAGTCACCTTTCTTAAAACGTTGTTGTTGTTAGGTGCCGTCTAGTCTGTTCTGATTCATAGCAACCCCATTTACAACTGAACTAAATATTGCCCGGCCCTGCACCATCCTTACAATCATTGCTATGCTTGAGCCCATTGGCTACACTGTGTCTATCCACCTCCTTGAGGGTCTTCCTCTTTTTTGCCGACCTTGTACTTTACCAAGCATGATGTCCTTCTTCAGGGATTGATCCCTCCTGATAACATGTCCAGAGTATAAGTAAAAGAATGGATTTGAAACATTCAACTTCCATTCTTATAAGCCACCCAGCTGATGGAATTTTGTTACAGCAGTCCTAAGAAACAAATGCTGCTATCTAGCGGGTTACCGAGCAGAATGGGAAGCACCTATTCTCGTGGTTAACTGTAATTTAAGACCAAAAAAAAGTTGCTGTCAAGTCGATTCCAACTCATGGCGTTCAAAATGTGTCAGAGCAGAACTGTGCCTCGTGGAGTTTTCAGTGGCTGATTTTTCAGAAGTAGATCACCAGGTCTTTCTTTTGAGGCACCTCTGGATGGACTCCAACCTCCAACCTTTCTGTTAGCAGCTGAGTGCTTTAATTGTCTGCACCACTCAGGGATTCCAAGACATAAGACGCTAAAATGCTTGAATCAAAATGAAAACAAAGTGCTTTGGAGCTCAGAAAAAAAGGTGAGTAATGGCTGCAAAAGAAACAGGAAAGGTTTCCACGAGGAGGTGTGATTTGAGGTGAAACTGGAAAGACGGGTTTTACTTTGCCACACACAGATGGGTGAAGGAGTCTTACTTCCAGAGTAAGTGAGTGCCAGAGACAAGATACAGAACTCAGTTTACAGACCAAGAGCAGTACCATGTTGGAAGTACCGAGTCCAAATGGGGCAAGGTGCCTCACGGTCTTAGTTCTCTTTCCATCTGCTATTTCTGACTAAAATAAACTGCAACTCCTCTTTTTTGGAGGGCTTGGGAGAGGGAAGTCACTTTTCTTCTGCTTTTCTAGAAAGTGTTATATCTTCACTTTAGCAATTACTTAGAAAATGCTTTTCAGTCAAGTCCTAGGAGGGTGAAGTTACAAGACCACTGGACATATCTCTTCTAGATTGGGGTCCAAATATGAGAGCTGCCAAAATCTCTTGCTACAGCCTTTCTTGCCACATGAACCTCTCTTCGTGCCAACTGGGAAGTCCCTGGGTGGTGCAAACTGTTAATGTGCTCAGCTGCTAACCGAAAGGTTGGAGGTTCGAATCTGCCCAGAGGCACCTTGGAAGAAAGCCCTGGCAATCTACTTCCAAAAACTCAGCTGTTGAAATCCCTGTGGAGCACAGTTCTACCCTGGCACACATGAGGTTGCAGGAGTCAGGGCTGACTTGACAGCAACTGGTTTGGCCCCAAAGGGAACCTAGACCACACCTTGGCCTGATGAGTTCTCCTCCTTCCTCCCCACAGAGGCCAGCTCAGTCCCTCTCGTCCGTACAAAGCTATCTCTATTTTCCTTGAGCTTTTTAAATTTTTCTTTTTAGTTGAGGTATAACTTTCATTCAGTACTGTGGCAGAGTCTTTAATGAACCACTGGATACGTTTTAACATCAATAAACATGCGTGTAACCACACCCAATCGTGATATAGAACATTTCCAGCATCCCAAATGTTCTCTCGTTCCCCCTTCTAGTTGGTACTACCCCCACCCCTGCAACCCTAGAATGAACCATTCTCCTGATTTCTATCACCATTGGTGAGTTTTACCTTTGCTTGATCTTCATGTAAATAGACTCCTACAGTTTGTAACATTTGGGGTCTGTCTCCTTTCACTAATCTTTGTGAGATTCATCCAGGCTAGTGCATGTAGCTATACTTTGTTCTTTTTCGTGGCTGTGTAGTATATTCCATTGTGTGACTGTGCCCCAATCTACATGTCCATTCTGCCATTCTGCCATTGATGTTGTTTCCACTTTGGCCCTATTGTAAACAATGCTGCTGAGAAGATTCTGCTTATACATATATTCACAATTATACATATACATATTATACATTATACATATGTTCTGTGCCGTTGAGTTGATTCCGACTCATAGCGAACTTATAGGACAGGGTAGAACTGCCCCATAGGGTTTCCAAGGAGCTGCTGGTGGATTTGAACTGCTGGCCTTTTGGTTAGCAGCCTGAGCTCTTAACCACTTTGCCACCATGGCTCCTATTATACATATACACACACATATTATACACATATCATATGTATATTTTTATACATATACTATTGCGGTGCAGTGAATTACTTAACATGTCCCTTCTAGCCATAGTCTCTGTAACTCCCACCAAATGACTAGGTGAGGACTTTCAAAAGAGGTACTTGTGGCCCATCAAGGGTGTTGGATAGCTTGCTAATAGTGTAACTAAGGTAAATAAGGCACCGTTGTGGGGTGTGGAACCATGCAAATAAGATGTATGGAACCCTAAAGAGGGATTGGTCAGTTTTGCCATCCTGCTAGGCTTAAAAGAATAGTCAATCCCAGAGGAGAGGGAGACCTACTACCACCAAGAAAGAAGAGCTAGGAGTGGAGCGCATCCATTGGACCCAGGATCCCTGCGCTGAGACCTCCTAGACCCAGGAGACAGAGAGAGAGAGCTATAACACAGAAGACAGAGAGAGGCAGCACAGGCAGCAGAACCAGGACAGAGAGGGAGAGCTGGAACACCTGAGACAGCGAGAAGCAGCGGCAAAGAAATGGCAGCAGCAGAGGCAGCAAGACCAGGAGACGGGCAGGAGACAGTGCAGTGGGCTTCCTGGCCCACAGAGCAAGGCAGTTACAGTGGGTGTACCGACCCATGGAGCGAGAGAGCTAAGCACCTTTGGGCTGAGGTTTACTGGCAGAGTGGGGTGCCTCTGGGCACTTCCAGCAGAGCTGAAGGAGCTTTGTAACACTTGTCCGAGCAAGGCAGAGGCCAAGCTGTTCCAAGAGGCCCAAGAGGCCCGAGGGGCCAAGGGGCCTAAAGCCCAGGAGGCCGAGAGCCAGAGACAGGTGTGCTTGCAGGCGTGACTGAGAAGAGGCTGTCCTGATGGAAGAACTGTATCCTGAGCATTCCTGAACTTGAACTGTAGCCTGTTACTTCCCTAATAAACCCCATAATCATGCATATTGCCTATGAGTTCTTTGTGGCCATTGCAATGAAGTATTGAACCCAGCAGAGAAGTAGAGAGTGCGTGGGAGGGATGGCTGGTGTTAGAACTGGTAAAAAGGTTGGAGGGTGGAGGCATGTCTGACCTTAGGCTTAGCCTTAGGCTGTTGATCTTGATTCTCCTCCTGCCTTGTGAAGTTAGAAGAG